AAAACATATCTTCCTGCTGCCCCCGGGGGCGCCACCCTCGGACATGCGCCCCCCCGGGGTAAGCACCCTGGCGGGCCAGGCCACTTTGTTTACCTGCCGTGTCGGCAGGTTCGGCCGATCGCGGCTCCCACTGCCCGCAGTTCACTGTCTCAGGCCAATGGGGGCTGCGGGAAGTGGCGCGGGCAAGGGATGTGCTGGCCGCAGCTTCCTGCCGCCCCCATTGGCCTGGGACAGCAAACCGCGGCCAGTGGGAGCTGTAATCGCCCAAACCTGCCAATGTGGCAGGTAAACAAACTGGCCTGGCCTGCCAGGGTGCTTACCTTGGCAAGCCGCGTGCCAGAGGTTGCCGACCCCTATGCTAGACCATCATATTCTTCCCTGTATGTGAGTATTTAAACAATTATGGAAATGGTAGTTACTCCATAATCCTAAAGGTGCTATTATTTTAAATCTGCACTCTGGTCCTGTGGAGAAGTAAAAAAGATCTCATACTGAATCAAAGGGGAAGTATAAATGGTGGTGACAGTCCAATCTTAGGTGAGTAAACTCATACAGTAATGTACATGCAAGAAAAAGTGCTTTAAGACAGATCCATGGAACTTAAAGGTAGCAGTTTCATGTACGACTAAAGTAAGGTTAGGAGTCTTTTGTAGTAAGCAACATTCTAGTACAGGTCTGTGCCAGAGGCAAAATCCTGAAGCCTTTACATGAGACGTGTGAATTCAATAGGACTACTCTCCTGCAGGATCAAACCTATGTCATAAACTGCCACTTACTTCAATAGTTTTACACCTAGTACCCAAAAAATATTTAGACAAGAAAAGCATACAAAGGACAAAGACATACTATATCACTTAACATGTTAAAAGGGGCATAGGGAGAGAGAGAAGAGAAGGAGAGAATTACAAGGGGTATTTTAGAAGTAAGGAAATTTAAGGGGAAAAACCATCCCCCAACAATATAGAAGCTTTAGCCTTCTCTCTTAATAATATGAAAATCAAGAAAAAGGAAGGCACAGACACATGTAAATACTGGAAACTATAATGGAAACAGCAAAACGACAACAAAAATCTAGAGCATTTCCTGTCTTTATTTAAAGGTGTCGGTCTCTCAGGATTCAAGGCTTCCGGAAAGAGATTCTATAGATTTTCCCAGTAATGAGAGCAAGTCTAGAAGGCACAAATAAACTTGTTGAAAATAAATTTATATACGGATTCTTTTAAAATAGATGCTAACAGATCCTACCCAGCTCACAAGTGTTACTGTAACAGAATTTCTTTAGCTATCAGCCACAATTACACAATAACAATGCTGTTTCCACAATTCGTTACTCCTGAAGGTTTCCAAAAATTTATTGCAGTGCAACTCTTAAAGATTCTTTCAAGTTCTTATTTTAGTAATTTTATTGTTATATTTTTACACTCCCCCGCCTTGTTCGTGATTACCTCTTGCAAGCTTCAAAATACCATTTCTGAACACAGGCTCAGTCCTGCCAATCACATAAGCAGTTCTATTAAGTTCAATGGCACTGCTCACATGCATAAATGTTTGCACTATCAGGGTCTATCTTTGCCCTTTATTGTTTGGCCAGTGTAGATTCTGCCCACCCCACCCCATGTTTTTTGAGACCAAGCTAACATTGGATCTTGTGATATACTGGTAATATCCACTACAAAGAAGTAACCCCTTCCCATGGTGACTTCCTCGTCACTGAAGTAATTCTACCTTAGGCAGGGTTGCCTTACAGGATTTTTTTTCTTCACCAGGAGGCCTTTCAGAGGTTGGCCCCTTAAATTTGGCAAAATCAAGTTACTACAGCCCTCATATGGCCATTTTGCAACTTGGCGTTGATAGCTTCATCTTTTTGACTTCCAACTACATTGCTGAAGATTCATATTCTCACAGCTCTGCTTCACCGATTTTCTTAGGTACTAGGACCATATGTCTTGTCAGATGAGAAATCAGGGCTCCGAAGTAAAGCAATTTACCTCAGCTCCCATATTAAGTCTATGGCAGAGCTGGGAACAGATTCAAGGTCTCCCAATCACTAGTCCCCTTCTCTTAATCTCTAGACCTTGTTAGAGTCAATTAATACATTTGTTAATAACTGTTGGTTAATTTGTGCTTCTCAATTCATTCTGTTCAGTTTCTGATATCATCACTATTATAAGCAAACTGCCTGCAGTACCGCATTAAGCAACACGACTAGCATCTATTACATGATATTCTTAGGGGGAAGATTGCATGTTCTAAATACACTTTTATTAAAGCTGTGCTGTGTGTTTATATTAGTGAAGGTAGTCCAAAAAAACAGAAAGTGATGACATTTGAGGTGGTTCTCTGATCCTGCAGGTGTTCATCCACAGTTTTGGACCAGCCCCCAAGACAACGATGCCTCCTCCAGAGACAAATTTTATGCCCTTGAGGCAGATAATTTCATTGTGCCAGAATAGTGGGGTCGTTGACCCAGGTCCTTATACCAGGGCTTGGCTACACTTGCAAATTACAGCGCAATAAAGGAGCCTCAGGTGCACTAGCTCACTACCTGTCCACACTGGCAAGGCACGTAGAGCGCTCTGACTCCGCAGCTACAGTGCTGCTGGTACTCCACCTCAGCGAGTAGAATAACGTTTGCTGCGTCCCTGCTGGAGCGCCGCAGCGCCACTGTGAACGAGGTGTTGCATTACTACGTTCTGACTGACCTCCGGAAACGTCCTATAATCCCCTTAAGTCAAGTGGCCACTCTTGTCATTGTTTTGAAGTCACTGTAGGAATGTGGATATGCCCTTTCAAAGCTCCATTTCTGACAGCTGGCTGCTTATTTGCTCCGAGACAAAGGAACCATTACTGAGGAATGCTGCTTGCTTTGAGTGAGAGAGAGGGGCGGGGGGGAGGTCTGTTGCTGTCTGAACTTACAAGACAGCATGCTGACATGCTCTCAGCCCCCCAAAAACCCACTCTCTCTCTCTCTCCACATACACACTCCACCCCACCCCCTGCATTTGAAAAGCATGTTGCAGCCATTTGCATGCTGGGATAGCTATCACAATGCACTGCTCTTTGTGGCTTTGCAAGAGCTGCTAATGTGGCCACACCAGTGCGCTTCCAGCTGAGAGTGTAAACCCTTGGCAACGTTTTCCCTGCTGTGGTCTCCAAAGGCTGGTTTAACTCCCGGTGCTCTACAACTGCAAGTGTAGCCATGCCCTTAGTGGTATCCTGAGCCTACATCATTAAGCACCTTGAAGAGAAGGACTCAGATCTTGAACTCAATGCAACAATACTTGGCCAGTCAATTGGTGTTCAGTGTAGAGAGCAGAGGACAGGTTGATGCGCTTTTTGTTTGTTAGCTCTGGAGAATCACAGTAAAATTACTAGGATCGGACAAAGTACTGTCTGTCTATTTTGTGTGGTTTTGGGTGGTATTATTTTAAGTTCTCATCAACAATGGTGAATTTAAAAAGATGAAAATGACAGGTAATAAGGATCTAGTGAAATTTTAAAATAATATTTGGCAAATTTTAAGACAAAATGTTGATCTTAAATTACTTGAAAGCTTTAAAAAAAAAAATCATACAACAACTGATATCCACATTAGGTAGACTAGAAACATTGCAAGATACAGCCTAACCAGACACAGCAGTAGAACAGCAAACTGTGTACTGAGGGCAATAAATTCTTCCTCGGTTTTATTACATTCCATTATATTGGGATTTAATGTAAGGTGTGAAGACATTTCTTTAAAGTAAAATAGGACCAGCATATCCAAATCACTGAGAATATTTCAGTTGATAATACAAGTAATTTTTTTAGCCTCTCTTTGTATTTATTGGATTCCATATTCCTAAATCAAGTAAGTATGCAAATGTCAACCAAGAAAGTTCTCTCCTCAAAATTATAATGTAGTTCAAATAACTAATATCAAAGAGTGAAACTGAAATCTCATGGGAGGGAAATATTTTCAAACGGCAGTATTTTAAAACTGGGTTACACTTGACAAATAACTGCAGCTCCTGAAGACAAAGCTATTTTATTAGCAAAATCAGTCGCAGTAGCCAATGTTTTAACTGACATGAAGTGCCATACCTCGGGTCATGGCACTTTCATCTATTCTCCAGGCTAAATGTAGTGAAATGTTGCCTGAGCCAAACGCTAGCTATTCTTTGCTACCATTAAAATATATTTAACAGGAAGGAGATTTGTAAAGTGCCAACAATGATTGAATCTGCTTCTATATAGCTACATTCATGAAAACAGGATCTCAACTAGGCTTGGTTGAAACACTGCAAAAGATAAGTATGATAACTTCTTTAGACAGGTGATTATCCTGTTTAGTGTCTAGAAATCGTGTTATGATTTTCTTTTATATGTAATCCTTTTCTTTCCATTATCTGTACTCACTTTTTTTTAAATCTCAAATCTTTGATAAGCTTATCATTATTTTCACTATAAATATATTCTAGTGCTCTGGTATTATACAAGGAGCTGATCCTGAGTTGAATCATTCAGCCTGGTGTGTATATTGTTTCTCTGGAAACAGCAGACTTTGCATTTCTGTGAATGTTCTGTGGTTAAGGGCAGGACACTACAGGGGAACACTTCAAAGGGGTTTGGGGACTGGAGTGCACCTATTGTTAACCTGCTAGGCAAAGTAAAGCCTGGCATAGCCCAGAGGAGATTAACAGACTGATGGCATCAGGGAGCTGAAACCTAGTTAAGCAGTAGCAAGTCCCCCTCTCACTAAAGGCAGGTGTACCAAGGTGACTCACAGTCCTGGGCACCCCAAGAACCATCACAAATACCAAGGGCTGTTTAGGTAACGTGAAAGGAACTTTATTGGTGGGACAGACATTGCACTATTTTGATGTGAACATCTGTCCAAAGCACAAAATTTAAAACAGACTTCTGCTTCTGCCAGAGGAGCAAGGATCTCTGGGAACAGGACTGAAGAATGTCATCAGCATGGGAAATCTTACACAGTGACATTCCACAATATAACCTCCTCCATCTCTCTACTGACCATCTTCACCTTGTGTAGTAGCAAAGGTAGAGATGGGACCAGACCAAAACCTTAAAACTGAACCTAACCCCTGAAAGGTTGGCTAAAGGGAGCCAAATCAGAGTTGCTACTCCCATCCCAAAGGTTTTACTCTCAAAAATGATCCAAACTCAGGGAAAGGAGAGACATGGAGGTGGGGACGAGGGGGAAGAAAACAAAAGAAAGGGACGTGATAATGGATGACTAGTGACAGAGAACAGTTTCAGGGCAGGTGGCCTGAGTGGCAATCGGCTGGAGTAAGCAGGTGGTCTTCCCTGGCATCTTCTTTCTTAAGACTGCCAAAAAAAGCTACTACTACCCCACCCCAAGCCACAAAGCCTGTCATCTTAAGGAAAGTGGTTACTACTCACCACCCACCCACCCCCACTCTAGCCAGACCAGCAAATGAAAACAGGTGACTCTGGCCTTATCATTTATAAGCAGGGTCCAGGAAAAGTCCATCCCCCAGACTCAGCATTTGTTGATTTTGTGCATCTACCTGTATTCTGCACTGTTTTGCTTCATGCGTCTCACCATATTTTAGACAACTTGGGGGGGCTGTTTTTTGCTGCTTGCTCCAATACATATTTGGGGCAATGCTAGTGGATGGCTAACAACATACTCTTATAACCGACCACACTGTATTTTCCTTACACAAGGAATCTCACTGATGCAGTTCCAGCAGTAAGAGGAGAAGGATTAGGCCCAGTAAACGTATTCAGATTTGTGCTGCTGAGCCACAGTTTGCAGAAGCCTTATTTTATTACTTTCATGTAGTCCCACAAACACAGCAAGAATTATTTACAAAGGGAAAACAAATTAAGCTAAAATAATGTCATAAGTGACCTGGGGAAACATGGAAATACTCCATACTATGGCTTTGTCCTTTGAAATGCAAAACTCGAGAGATTGAGGTTGTCAAAACTAAAGCACATCCATCCAAGCTCAAGAAAAAGGTTGAAGCACTAAATACCTTTCTCTGGTTGCCCTTTTAATTTTGTATTTGACCCATGTTATAGCACTGTTAATAAAATTATGACTAAAACCTTAATGCTTTTCAGATGTTAGCTACTACACTTCTTTATGCTTTAATTCACAATGCATAAAAAATGTTTTTCCATTTCCAAAATGCATCTAAAACTCATGGTCTTCTCAAAAATAATTTATATTCATCTACAGAATTAACTACTGGATTTTACATAAAAAGCCCAAATGGTACCTTTTCAAAATCACTGCCCCAATACCAGCCTGATTCCTGCTGAAGATCGAACGTTGTTTTGATAGTCTGAGAAAGTCCTCCACCAGCTGCTGTTTCTGACCATTTGGGTTTTTCAGGTGAAAGGTTTTCGCTAATGTTTTTAGCTCAGGAGCAGAAAGCAAGTCCAGCCCCTCAGAAAGGTCTTGTAATTCAGATTCTGCAGGTACAAAGAAAAATACTTATGCATTCACAATATTACATATGATACTTTAAAGTACAGAGAGTTTCTGGATAGTAGAAAGTCCTACCTACATATGAAATATCTATGGACTAGTAACTTAAACTAACTTTCCAAATATAGTTTGAAATTTACTTAATTTATTATGAAGATTAATAATTAACAGAAGCTTAACAATCAGGAAAATTCCATGGCAATTTCAAAACAAAACACGAGTGTACAGAAATCTGGTTCAGTTAAATCTGAATCAAACTGACAGTCCAGGCAAACAAATTAATTTTTATCTTCTCGTCCTAATGACTGAAATCTAGTCTGTTCCGTCCCAAAAAAAACCTTGCCGATCTCTCCCTCTTCAACTGCTCTGCACTAACTTATATTATTAACTTAATGGAGCAAGCTGCCAATCTGCCTGAATTGCTCAACTAATAGTCCTCAACTTGACTCCCTTAATTGGCCACCCCAAGACACAGACTGGCGGCAGCAGCAAGAAAAGGGAATTTAATTCTAACAACATGCAGTCATTTCCCATACCTGTTTGCAGAAAGCCTGCTTCAACCAATTCTCCAATTACTGGCAACAAATCTGCACTGATCTCTGCATATTCTATTTTGTTAATTTTTATCCAATTCAGCTTGCGTTGAAAAAGTCTTACATATAACTTCTGTCCACCAGCTGTAGTTTGTATTTAAATGGGGAAAGAGAAAAAAAAAAATTAAAGCGTAAAATAAAAATCGCATTATATACATATACCTACAAAAATATCACTCTGATACATCTTGTCTATTAAAAGAAGACAGGCAGCTTTAAGATACTTTACTGAATCAACTTGTAAAAATATCAGATTTTAGCCTTTGAAATAACATGCCAAGCACAGAGCTTTGTATATGGGCTTGCAAAACTGATGGAATGATTGTTAAAAATATATTGTGCACATGCAGTGCTAACCTCACAATGATTTTGGCAAAAAAAAAAAATTAATTAATGGCAACTTCACTATTCAAACTTAAATAGCCCAGATGCTTACATTCTCTCTCTTCAAACGAGCAAAACTGATTAAGTAATGTTAGACTGAATGACAGTCTCTTGTTCTGAAGAAAAGAAGTACACAGAGGATTTTCAATGTACCTTTGTGCTTTGGCAACAATATGTATATTTTCGATTTTTTGCTGATCGGTAGTTGCAGATTGATGTATTTATACCACAGTCACAGCACTATCTGATCTGCCTCTGAATGGGGTCTTCAGGTCCTTATTTTTGCCAAACACAGACACTGATTAAGCCATACATATTTAATAGATCTCAACTTAAATTGCAATTTTGCTCTGAAAAGAGGCCATTTTAAGGTCATATGTTAGCAACTCAATGACTCTAGGTCAAAGCTAATCTGATCAGATCAGTAAAAAGATATTTTTAACTGCTAACTCTGCTAAATTCTACCTGGAATCAGAAAGTCAAACTTGTTTCTTTCCTTCTTATGTATCAACACCAGCATTTTAGAGGCCAAATTATGTCAATTACACCTGTGCAGCTCTTTTGCAAGCGAATTATGCCCTCAGTTGGACTCATGAAATCCCAATGGTTTAAACAGGATTATACAGACGAGACTATCTTTGATTGTGTGGCACAAGGGTAAATAGAATTTAATTGATGCTGGAAATTAACCAAACCTTGCACATACTCAGACCCTGGGGCAACTAACAAGAATAGAGTATTGTTTTAGAGACAAGTTTTTCCCTCAGAGTTAACTCAGGGCATCACCTGCACCACCGCCACTAACTTAAACGGAGATGACTCCAAATACACCCAGGGACTAAGTCAGGGGTCGGCAACCTTTCAGAAGTGGTGTGCCGAGTCTTCATTTATTCACTCTAATTTAAGGTTTCGCGTGCCAGTAATACATTTTAACGTTTATAGAAGGTCTCTTTCTATAAGTCTATAATATATAACTAAACTATTGTATGTAAAGTAAATAAGGTTTTTAAAATGTTTAAGAAGCTTCATTTAAAATTAAATTAAAATGCAGAACCCCCCCAGACCAGTGGCCAGGACCCGGGCAGCGGGAGTGCCACTGAAAATCAGCTTGTGTGCTGCCTTCGGCACGTGTGCCAAAGGTTGTCTACCCCTGGACTAAGTCTTTTGAGTAAGAATGTGCCATTTTTACAGACACTTCAGAGTAGAACCACACTTCTGGCTATACTGTGCCTCATTCTGGCTGTCCAAGCCTGATCTAGTTTTCTAATCACTTTTTTAACCAAGATGATGCTAGTGTATAGGATTAGCACTATAGTCTTAGCCAAAACCCACTGAAGTCAACGGAAACATTCCTATTGACTTCAATAGGTTTTTTCGATCAGCCTTTACAGAAGGAATATCCTATTTTTGGCTTAATGTGCAAGTTCCATACACACTTGAAAAATTTTGTAATGTATCTTCAAGTAGGTTTACAATTTATTCCTACTGAGAAACAATTCTTATATTTCAAATTTTTAGATGGCTGGTCAAAGCAAATAGGGTTTGCTTTTCTTTCAGCACAAAAAATATCAGAGCCAGATCTGTCACCAGTAAAAATACATCTTATTTCAATCCGTTTACTCTTGCACAGAACAAAAGTCTTCCAAGAAGTGTCATAAATCCATCTGACATCTCTAGCTATGACATTTTGCATTTGGATCTTTGCTTTAGCTGAAAAATAGGAAAAAAAAATCACATTTATCCAAATAGCTCCTTATTGTCTACAGCAGTGTTTCCCAAACTTGGGACGCTGCTTGTGTAGGGAAAGCCCCTAGTGGGCCGGGCCCGTTTGTTTACCTGCCGTGTCCGCAGTCCGGCCGATCGCGACTCCCACTTGCCGCGGTTCGCTGCTCCAGGCCAATGGGAGCTGCTGGAAGCGGCGGCCAGTACATCCCTCGGCCCACGCCGCTTCCTGCCGCTCCCATTGGCCTGGAGCAGCAAACCGTAGCCAGTGGGAGCCACAATCGGCCAGACCTGCGGACGTGGCAAGTAAACAAACCGGCCCGGCCCACCAGGGGCTTTCCCTACACAAGCGGCGTCCCAAGTTTGGGAAACACTGGTCTACAGATATTGAAGAATGAAAGGTAAACCACAAAATGCTGGCATTAACCTGCCTTGAAAGATATAATCAATCTGAAATCTAATCATTTAAAAAAACAGAAGTAGCTTCAGGTATAGCACCTGCTTGCACTGTGACATTTTTTCTCGTTTTACGATAAAATTTTCCTATTTAACAAAAGTTCTCTCCTCTGTTGCTATGTGAAAGACTCAAACAAAAGGAAATACGATCAATGACTATCCATTTATATGCCGTAGGTGTACAAGGTGTTTTGCAAACATAGGACGAGGTCCCTGCTCCAAGGATCTTACATTTTTAGAACTTGATGCTAACAAACACTTACTAAAAGGGTAAGTAACTCTTCATACAAGCAGTCCCACATTAGAACTACTCGCACATGTAAAGTTACTCATATGTGTTGGCAGAATCTAACAGTGCAGCAGTGTGATTATATAGGAACATCAGAACAGGAAATTAATTTATTTCTCACTAAGATGAAAGATATGCAAAAATTACACAAAAACATTACCCATAATTTAATTTGGATATTAAGAAAACCTCATTAATAGAAGGTTGTCTGGTTGGTGGATTTAAAATGTGTTTACTCTCAGCATCCTTCTGCATGCACATAGTGCTCTGACTCTTGATGAGCTACTAACTTGTTTACCACTGTCTGTTCCTGCTCAACTATAACTGATCAATAATAAAAGCAGACATATTAATTTAAACACTATTAGTTCTGATGTAATTAGAAAATGGCAGCTGACTTATACATGCTTATTAAACTTTTCTTTTGACTATAAAGTTACTTCTCTCCTCCAGACATTTTTTGTCTGATGTCTCTTTCAATAAATTAGATGGATCATTCCACTGGGAGAAATATATTCAAAGGCCCAAGTTGTCACTTCCCCAGTGGTAATACAGTTTCTTTGAAGTGTCTTTGATTCTTCGCAAATCAGAGACAGAGAGAGCGAGAATGCTGACTTGCACAACAGCATCCTACCCACTCTTACCCCCCCATGGAAAATGACAAAACTAAGCCTGAAATTCAGTAACTTTAGTGGAAAGATGGCTTTATCTCAAAGAGATTTGAAAGGCAGACAGCAGAATAAAAGGTCCGGTGCTAATACTTCTACTCAAGCCTTACATAACCTGCAGCACATAACCTTGGGGGTAGGCTTTTTGTTGTTGTTGCTATTGTTAATAAGATGGCTTCGCTCACATGAAAAGCAGTTTCAGATGTTCAGCTGAAACTAACAATCTTGCTTTAAGTGAAAGATTGGGAAAAGATGCAAAAAGCCTGAGGAAAGTGATTACATTGTGATTATTTCCACTGCATTCTTAATGAAGCATAAATGGCAATCATATCTGCTTTGTTAGTTTTCTGACTGTGCATTAGTACCCAGTGAGGTCTATAGGAACATGTGTTACTCCAGGACTGGCACATGTAATTTGGCTGCAGACTAGAATGAGGAGCCCATGTAGCTCATTAAGGAGTGTTACCAAAATGGTATTTTAATTTTCCAATAGAGATATAGATTTTTTTTAAAATGTTAAGTAAAATATAGAAAACATTCCTTGCCAAGATTCTCCAAACAAAGTAGGACATGTTTTAAGCCTACAGAGTTTGGCAACGCACCTTTACATTAACTGCTGCTATATTATTTTAGAACTCAAGAACAACTCACAGGTTTTCAGCTGCTCAACATTTAGCAAAGCTAACAACGCTACAGAAAACTGCTTAATGATGAGCATTTAGACCAGGAAATACCTCACCAGTATATGAGCATTTCTTTAGAATATTTGAGTTTTTGCACCCTTTGCTTAAACAAATGGATGGTTAACAACCTATTTCCAACATAAAACACTTTCTTTTTTGTAAAGGCTGGGGCAGGAGAGGGGAGAATGAAAAGTTGTTTTAAAAGGAATTTTACCTTTAAAAATACATTAATTCGCCTGCATAATAATCACTGCAGCTAAAAAAGCTCACTGCAGAACAGATAGCACCCATACCCTGTAAAAATAAATTATTACTGGAGTGGAGCAATACTGTCCTAACTCATTCTATCGACTTGTGATAATAAACTTCCATATAATAAAAGCCATCAACTGCAGAAATCAGATATGCATTTTAGCAGAAACTAATTAATTAGTGAAGTATACATACTATGCAAATAGCCTAACTAATGCATTACATGTGTATAGAGCAACAAGAAAACTGCCTTTTCCAATACACAGTTTTATTGAAGTAGCATGATTTTGCACCAGAGTGGACTGATTTAAATAAAAGCCATGTAAATTACCAATTTTAATCATCATTTAAATCAGCAAGCAGGAAACTTTCATCTAAATAATAAATTTCAATCCTGTTTTCCATTTGTACTTTTAAGTTATTTTCCTAAAAACCATGGTGATTTGCAACAAAATATAGTCTTTACACTAAATTTTGTACTACTTTTTGCTAATCAAGAGGATATGTAGATCTATACACATTTATTTAAGCAATTATATAATATTAACATACATTTATTCAGATTCCTAAATTTTAGATTTTTATTACATCAAAAATGGTGAATGAGGCATTTCTTATCTACTAGATTAT